GGTGATAATTTCGAATTACCTCCCACTTTATATAGAGCCGATATAACTTTAATTCCTAAACCAGGACGGGATCCGCTATCGGTGTCATCTTACCGTCCCATTTCGTTGATCCCAATAGAAACCAAACTTATCAGAAAAATATTGGTGAATCGTCTGAAAAGTCATATTCGCTCTATTATACACCTGGACCAAACAGGCTTCATTCCTGGTCGATATATGTATTTTAATTTGCGCCGTCTTTATAACATTTTATATGCCAAGCACTGCACAGATACAGTTATTATTTCTCTTGATGCACAGCGTGCCTTTGATCAAGTGGAATGGAAGTACATGAGGTCTGCCATAGAAGCATTTGGATTTGGGCCAGTCTAGCTGGATTGATATTATATATGCTCATCCAGTTGCATCTGTAATCACAAACCAAAATGTGTCTTCTCCCTTTAAGATATGCAGACGAACGCGACAGGGATGTCCACTTTGGCCTTTTTTGTTTGCAATTCTTATCGAACCGTTAGCAGTAAGTATTAGGCAACATTCAGGGTTTTATCCTGTAAACATTAAGGGTCTCCCTCATTATCTTTCATTGTATGCAGATTAGTGGTTGACCGATATATCGCAGAAGCCGATATATTGGCCGATATTTGGCATTTTTAAAATATCGGCATCGGCGATAAGTTTTCCTGTTTGGCCGATTTATTTTGACGGCGCGACAGACTTTTATTTTGACGACGCTGACAGCGGCAGCGCCTGAGCACAGTGCTCACATTCTCCCTCTTGTTCGCCGTCATTGTTAACAGTTCTGTCTAATACGGATAGAAGTCTATCTAATAATCAGATAGAGCGGTTAAACAAAGGAATTCAAATGTATACAAAAAGTATAATAATGATTGCTTTTATATTATTAGTAATAGGAAGGCAAACATTATAATACTTTCTTGTTTGCCCTTGTGAAGTGTGTATGTGACCTGAATGATCACGTGTTCTCTGCGTGACAGTCGATCCGTGTTAACTGAATGCGGACAGGAGGAGAGTTCAGCTTCACTGGAGATGCACGATCGACAAACTTTAAACTTGTGATTTTAAATTATTCTGCGCTTTATACATTTGCCCACTGCCATATTCATGTCATTTCCACTGTGTGCTATATGTAAAATGAGTGTTACCTTGGCTTTATTTGAAAAAATATGATTAATGCACACAAACTTTCAGAATACTGAGTGCCCTGTTGGTTACAGTGTTTACTTCCTTTTTTATTATATTTTTTATTAAATATTTATTTATTTGTGAAAAATACTTTGTCATCTAAAGTATAAGTATGTTTATTTAACACATTTACTTTTTAATCAATTTTCAAATGATTTCAAATTTCTTAAACATGAATTAAAATAAATAAAATTATATCGGCTTTATATCAGCCACCCTGCTTTCCAAGATTTCGGCATCGGCTGTCAAAAAACCATTATCGGTCGACCACTAATGCAGATGACATTTTAGTATATATTTCTAACCCTCAAAAGTCTGTTCCTTCGGTTTTGTCTTTGATTAAAACATCTGGGACATTCTCTGGCTTTACAATTAACTGGGAAACGAGTGAATTAATGCCCATTACAACAAAAATTTACCCACAATTTCTGAAATCCACACCTTTTAAAAAAACATACAATTCATTTGTATATCTTAGAGTCACAATTACTAAAGAACCCAAAGATCTGCTTAGGATAACTTAGGATAACAACGAATGTTAGATCAGTTGAAACAAAATATTGAATTCTGGAGAACATTGCCCATGTCAATGGCAGGAAGGATCAACTTAGTGAAGATGGTAGTACTTCCACGATTTTTGTACATTTTTCAGTCACTCCCTTGTTTTATCCCACAAAGTTTAAAAGTTTTTTAAGCAGCTAGACACAATAATAATTTTTTTTGTGTAATTACAAGAATGTGAGATTATCAAAGAAACATTTATGCAAAACTAAAAAGGAGGGAGGGTTTGGCCTGCCACAGTTCAAATATTACTACTGGGCAGCTAATCAAAGTATTTTCGCATGGTGGAAAAAGTGGCCTTCTGATACAAATAGAGATCCGTCCTGGCTTAGAATGGAGCAAGCATTTTGCAACAGGACATCTCTTGCTGCGCTTCTTAATAGTCCTATTAGAATTGACCTGGCCTTATATGATAATCACTTTATTATAAACAATGCGCTGAAAATATGGAAACAGATTAAAGCCTATTTGAAGGTTCCCGACGTGTACCTAGATAGTCCTATATGTCAGAATCATGCCTTCTCTCATGGTTTACTTGATTCAGGTTTTACACAATGGGAGAAGAATGGCATTCAAAGAATAAAAGATCTGTATATAGACGGGACATTTGCCTCATTTGAGCAATTAAAAAAAGCCTTTAACATCAATATTTCAAATTTTTTTGGATACTTACAAGTTAGAGATTTTGTGAAAAAACAGATGTCAATTTTTAATGTGATGACAGAACACAATGTACTTGAAGAAATGCATAAGTTTAATACTTTGCATCGGGGAGCTGTGTCATATTTCTATAGTACTCTGTTAAAACATGAAGTAGTAGATGAAGCCAAAATTAAGCAGGCCTGGGAGATAGAATTAGGTTTAGAGATCGATTCAGACAGTTGGGAAGAAGGCCTTGAGAACATACATACTTGTTCAATTAATGTAAGGCATAATTTAATTCAGTTTAAAACCTTGCATAGATTATACTTATCTAAGGTAAAATTGCACAGCATTTTTCCAGAGGTTTCTCCATTCTGTAACAGGTGCAAAGTAGCAGAGGAATCCTTAACTCACACACTTGTGCCCTAAATTACAGGAATATTGGGAAAACATATCTGATTGTTTTTCTAAAGCATTCAAAAAGAATCTCAAACCATGTCCACTTTTAGCTATAACAGGGATATTTAGTAATTTAGAGATGTTTAATATACATGAAAGACAAGCCATGTTATTCGGTATGATATTTGCCAAGAGGGTTATTTTAAGAATGTGGAAAACTGATTTTGCGCCCAAGTTTGAAATGTGGGGTAGAGATCTTGTAAGTATGTATTGGAGAGGTTGAGGTACATCAATAATGACAAATCTGAGGTATTTGACAAAACATGGGGCCAGATTTTAGAACATCTCAATGTAATTGATGTAATGCATTCATAGCCAATGACCCTTGTTAATGACAAAAGTTATTAATAATGGAGTGTGATCTGAATTAATTGATAATGTATTTAATATAGTGCCTAAAGTATTAGGAATAGGACCTGATTCCTACTTCCGGGGCGCTGCACTGTGGCGACCTGCTGTGTGTTTTTTTACGTGCGGCGTTTATTGTGTTTGTTTTGTGTTTGTAGTACGTTGGCTTTTTAAATATATACAGTGGGTACGGAAAGTATTCAGACCCCCTTAAATTTTTCACTCTTTGTTATATTGCAGCCATTTGCTAAAATCATTTAAGTTAATTTTTTTTCCTCATTAATGTACACACAGCACCCCATATTGACAGAAAAACACAGAATTGTTGACATTTTTGCAGATTTATTAAAAAAAAAGAAAAACTGAAATATTTTTTTTTTTGTATTGTGTACAATAATTGTCATCATTTTATTTTAATATACATGCACAGGACTAAGTGACTTTACAACATTTACAAATTTGTATCCTGCTTATGCATTACCTGACCAGTTAAATTATAATTTGCCTTTATATGCATTTGTCCCTCAATGTTCGGTTGTTCTGTCATAGGTTATTTCATTTTAATTTATATTTTATTATTGTAATTATCTTTTCTTCGTTATCGTTGTCCTGTTTGTTCTGTGAAAAAGCAAAACACTAACATAAATGTGTAAAAAAAAAAAAAACGTGTAGAGAAGATCTGCAACCAAAGGAACAAGATCCACAGCATGTTATCTGACTTGTTATTGTCTAAAGCCCAAAGTATACATCGGTTCGGTTTATACGCATATGTAAGAGTTTGCGTACAATGTGCGTAATGCAAATTTTGTCATCAGAATAGTATGTGCGTACTGTACACTGATTTTTGTAACCACACATACTTTGTACGCACAGGTTGCACATGCGCACTGAATTTGTTTTGCACTAATGAGTTGTTCCACAAGGTGGCAGCACTGTCCCAGGCCGTTGTCTCACAGTAGAAAACAAAACTAACGAGACAGAACAACAACAACAAAATAGCAGAGACTGCAACAACAACAGACGTCATTGACAAGTGCTTGTGTGAGGGGGTTATGAAAGAGCCGATACTTTAGTTTAAAAGAGTACAAAGACATTTTTATCGGTCATAACCTCTGGAGCAAATTAGCAAATTAGTTCGCGCATGCTATCAAATGGCATATACTTTGAAAGGCTACGCATTCGACTGTACGCAAGTGTACACATACGAAAACAAAGTATACTTTGGGATTTTGTCTTACAAGTCATGTTTTATGCCTCACACAAAAATCTATATAAAAATAACTATTTTTAGTCACTTTGTGCATCAGTTAAATGACGTCTTCTTCTCTAAGTGGGTATTTTTCAGTCAGCTGCAAACTGTAAAGTGGACCAGACTTTATGCTGATAGTAAAAATACTTACTGCTACTGTTACAGTTGGTTATTACTTAGTTCACTAGAATAAAAATTCTATTAAAACTAGCATTTCTATATATGAAACTGATGCTATATAACTAAACCCATGAAAATGTCTCAGTTGAAACTCATCTGTCTTACCGTTAACCGATTACCAGAGTTGACCTCGATCATTCCTCGCAGAAGGTTCTGGCAGTCCGGTGGGATAAAATGGGGCATGTGAAACACACCCAGCTTCACTTTTTCTAACAAGTTTCTTAAATTGTCATCATCAAATGGCAGAGCTCCCTGAATAAAAGACACGGACAACAAAAAGAAAATGCATCAGTCTGAGGAGAAATTCAGAGTAAATGAGGATTGCTGGAGTAGGAGAACAAATTAGAAGACAAGTGCTCAGAGGATTGACCTAAAAATGATAAGTTTTCATTTATTAACTCTCGCTTCGGTGCTTTTTCTTATGTAAGGTGTCTGTCGGTACTGCTGACATGCTACAGATGAGAGTGATGATGTTTCATTTTCATTTCTGATGAAAAAACAAAAAAAAGGAATAAAAAAAGAGAGAGAGAGACAGGATGAGTGCATAAATGCACTCCAATCACTTTGTATATGAGAGGATTTTGAGTATTCAGCATAGAGTCAGTCTTCCAAAGCACAGTCTGTCAGCAGTCAATTTTATTTTTGGTTTTGGTGCTGTCTGCCTTTCCACAGCAGGTCATTATATATTTCATAAAGGGACGAAAAAGAAAAGAAAAGAAAAGAAAAGAAAAGAAAAGAAAAATCAGTCTGAGGAGAAATTCAGAGTAAATGAGGATTGCTGGAGTAGGAGAACAAATTAGAAGACAAGTGCTCAGAGGATTGACCTAAAAATGATAAGTTTTCATTTATTAACTCTCGCTTCGGTGCTTTTTCTTATGTAAGGTGTCTGTCGGTACTGCTGACATGCTACAGATGAGAGTGATGATGTTTCATTTTCATTTCTGATGAAAAAACAAAAAAAAGGAATAAAAAGAGAGAGAGAGACAGGATGAGTGCATAAATGCACTCCAATCACTTTGTATATGAGAGGATTTTGAGTATTCAGCATAGAGTCAGTCTTCCAAAGCACAGTCTGTCAGCAGTCAATTTTATTTTTGGTTTTGGTGCTGTCTGCCTTTCCACAGCAGGTCATTATATATTTCATAAAGGGACGAAAAAGAAAAGAAAAGAAAAGAAAAGAAAAGAAAAGAAAAGAAAAGAAAAGAAAAGAAAAGAAAAACAAATGTGAGATGATAAAAAAAGACACAATTAGATATGAAGACACTGAGAAGATGAAACAAAAAGAAATGCAATGAGATGAGGCAAAATGAAAGAAGGGAAGAGTAATGTACTGATAGGATGGCTAAACAAGACAAAACCGATGAAATGAGACAAAACGAGAAAAGAAAATAGATGAGATGAAAGTGAGAGCAGACAATATGAGATGTAATAAGATAAGAAAAAATAAAAGACAAATCAAAAGAGACAAAATGAAATGCCATGAGAATAGACAGAAAGAGACAAGACGGGATGACTTAAGAACAACGATAAGAAAAAATAAAAGACAAATCAAAAGAGACAAAATGAAATGCCATGAGAATAGACAGAAAGAGACAAGATGGGATGACTTAAGAACAAATGAGGCGAGATGAGACAAAATGAACAAAAGAGAAGAGACTAAATGAGGCAAGATGAGATGAGATGAGACAAGCCAAAAAGAGATGCAATAACAGGAGACAAAATGAAAGAACAGACAAAAGCGAGACAAGGCAAGGTGTCATGATGAGACTAAATAAGATGAGAAGAGAGAGGAAAACAGAAGAGACAAAACAATATGACACAAGACCACACAAAACAGGACAAAATGAAAAAAAAGAGACAAAAATGAGATGAGACAAGGTGACAAGAGATAAGATAAAATGCAGTGAGATGAGATGAGAGAAAAACAGAAGAGACAAATCTATTTGAGATGAGACAAACTGAAAAAAGAGCAGAGACAAAAAAAGAGATGCAACAAGCTGAGACAAAATCAAAGAAGGGAACAGATAAAAATGAGACAAGGCGAGATGACACAAATTAGATCAGACGAGAGGGGAAAACAAGAGACAAAACAACATGAAATGCAATAAGATGAAACAAAAATAAAGAAGAGAACAGACAAAAATGAGACGAGGCAAGGCAACACAAGATGAAAGTGAAAGTGACGTGACACGTGGCCAAGTATGGTGACCCATACTCGGAATTAGTGCTCTGCATTTATCCCAGACCAAATTATATGAGGTGCCAGAGGAAAACAGACAAGAAGAGACCAAACAACATGAGACGAGACAAGACAAAATGAAATTCAATAAGATGAGACCCAATAAGAGACAAAATGAGACGAGACAAGAAGACACGAGACGAGACAAAATGAGATACAGTGAGATGAGACTAGAGAGGAAAACAGAAGAGAAGAGACAAGACAATATGACACAAGACCAAACAAGACAAAACAAAATAGGCAAAATAAAAGAGAATACACAAACGAGACAAGACCAGGTAACAAGAGATAAAATGAGATGAGACGAGAGAGGAAAAAAAAAAAGAGACAAATCGATATGGCAAGACCAAACAAAACAAGACAACATTAAATGCAATAAGATAAGAAAAAATTAGACGACACGTGACAAGATAAAATGAGATGCAATGAGATGAGAAAAGAAAGGAAACAAAACAAGACGAGATCACATGATACAAAAAACACAAGACTAAATGAGATGAAATGAGATGAGACAAAAAGACAAGAGGAGACAAGAGAAGAGACAAGAGGTGATGCAAGAAAAAAGAAAACAAAACAAAACAAAAAAGAAGAAAACAAAAGAAAAAAGAAAAGAAAAGAACCGTTGAGCTGAGGTTCCTGTGTGGTTGTTTGAATGTAATGTGCAGCTCTAGTCTGCTCTGAAGTTGCAGAAGCTCATTGAAGAAAGGACTCATCATTTCTAGAACGTCAAAAACAATCCAGCTCCGCTTTAAAATGCAGGCCAGTGGCTCTGTGTATGGAGATAAACCTATCAGACTCAAGGGTCTCAATTTTACTCTCAAAATTGAACAAGAGTATTTCAAATGAGCTGGAACTCTTGGGGATATCGCTGCGGTTGAGATGTGCAGGTAAAACATTTCAAATAAAATCTGCTAATAACGCAGTGCAGAAGTGTGACGCATACCTGCTCCAAATTCTATTGTCTTTGGGACAATAAAATCAATTCCCAGCCTTCATTCACATATGCATGTTCATTTTCACAAAATACAATTTCTGATGAAAAAGGATCGCAGATAACATTCTGAAAACATGAGTTTAACTTTAATATCCATCACGCTGTCAAAATCAGCAACATAATACAATGTGTTTGAAAGTTATTTGTGTGTTTCAACACAATTTGATCAAACTAAAGAGAAAATATCTGACTTAATCTAAGATATAGTTCACGCAAAAATGAAAATTCTGTCAAACCTGTATGACTTTCTTTCCTTTAACAAAAGGAGATATTTTCTTGTTATGTTCATGCTGCTCTTTTCCATACTCTGAAAACTCATATAGTTTTAAAGGGGTCATATGATGCGATTTCAAGTTTTCCTTTCTCTTTGGAGTGTTACAAGCTGTTCGTGATTAGATAAGATCCCTAAAGTTGCAAAGACTAAAGTCTCAAACCCAAAGAGATATTCTTTATAAAAGTTAAGACTCGTCCATGCCCTCCTAAAACGCCTCGTTTAAACACGCCCCACATATCTACCTCACTATGTGAAAATATTTGCATAATGCCGCCCAAATGTGCACGCAAAGAAAGAAGGCGTAACTTTATTGTTGCTACCCCCGCCGCCGCCATGTTGTGAAGACACTGTGTGTTTCGTTGCGAAAGCGAAAATACTTTGTTTGGCCTTCCAAAAGAGGACACGACTAGAAATCAGTGGTTAAGTTGTATTTACAACACTGTTCCAGAACAGATCAACCCAAATATTCAGATGTGTGCAGCACATTTTATGGAGGACTGTTTACTGATCCTGGTAGAGTAGACTACAATGCCGGCTGTTCTGACTCACAGACACAAAGTACGTTTTCATATTTAAAGAATTTGACACTGATGATTCAAACGCGAGTTTTGAGCAGTGTAGAACAGCGCTTGTTGTTTGTCATTTCTCCAATCACAAATGCAGACATGGTTTTATGTTTACACGGTGCGATGCAACGCGTAAAAAGACAGTAT